GAACAATAAACTGATTTAGCATATTTTTCCATCACTAACCTTTGCACCTGAGCTTCTGATTTATTTAACCTCACATTTGAAAGTTAAATATGAAACTCGTATTTCTTTGGTAAAATTCCTACCAGTCATGGTGTTCAAGTGACAAACTACCAAATGCTAGCACTTTCCCCTGACAGTGAGAAATCCTTAGGTTTATAATTTCTGGTACAATATTAACCATGGGGAACAGGTAGAAGTCTGGCAACAGAGTAGAGCTGAGTTTATTGCAGAGAACATTTGAGGTTCTTGTATCCTGCACTGGGATCGTGCCTCTAAATGTGTAGTTAGTAAAGAACCTTTGATAGCGAGAGATGTGTTTGGTGGCTTGAAGTGACTGAGCTAGTTGAAAAGGAAGGATTTTAGATTGAGCCAGTAGGGATGTTGTACCCTCTTCTCATTTCCACTGTGACAGTCCCTGTACTACTAAAGAGAATGTAGATCTGGGTGGAGGAGAGCAGCCAGTAGGCAAAAGGAACCGATATCTAAGTTAAAAGCAAACCTTCAGCTGACTGCACTGTGTCCTTTTGCACTGACAGTACTCCTGTGAGAGAGGGAATTTTCAAGAATGTGGTAGCTTTTCAGGATGGACGGGCCAGAAGTGAAGTACCGTAATGACTGGTACTGTGTCAAATTTTACTCAATATATTCACTTGTGACCTAGAATGAGAGTAAACAGTGAAATATCTCAGTTCATGCATCATACTTAATTTACTGGGAAGATACTAGATGTGAGGGAACTGCAGAAACATCTTACAGAATGTAATTACTGGGCAAAAAGATAGTAGCAACTGTCATTGTAGATAAATATGAGTTAATGCATCTGACAAAAAAGATCTTTAACTCTGCCTGGGCAGTCCTAAACTTGGAATTAATTTGTAAAACTCAGGAAGGATACTGCTGTCATCACTGACAGTTCTCTGATATTAATCATCTCTCATTGCACAGTGACAGACAAAATTTAAGTCAACAAAGCATCGGCAATAAGGAGCATTACAGGTAAGGCAGGAAGCATTGGTTTGTTTCTGTATGTGACCATAGTGTCCCCACATCTTGAATATTAGAGTGCTGTTCTGGTGAGGATCTTGAGGACAACTTTTCAAGAGTAAAGTTGGCGAGTGTATGCAGAAAGGCAACTAAAACAACAGGGAAGAAGCAGCTTCCTTGTTATGAGAAATGTCTGTTTGATTTGGGGAGCATAATGCTTCTCAGGAGGAGGTTTCCAAAATTATGACAATAAATAAGGTAAATGCAGAATAAAATATACCAGATTCAGTAATGGAACTAATGATCACTTAGGCACAAGCTGATATAAAACAGGAAAGAGAAAGTATTTATTTATTTATGCAATGGGTAAAAACTGTAGGGAATTAGCTGCCAAAACACTATATTGTGGGCAGGATATATGAGCAGACTTAAAATGATAAAAGAACCTAATGGGCAAATGGTTCATAAACAGCTACTGAAAGGCGCAGATTTTTTGTTGTGCAGGTGCACTGCCATCCTTGCCTTGGACACTGACCTTTACACTTTTGTGTGCTGGTCCTGGTCCCGGTGCCATCTTTGGCAGGATTGTGAGCCTGAGAGATGTACCACAAGTGGAAGAGATGCAGAAGGTGGCCAGGCTTGGTTTTGCTCACTGAATAACGTCTCCTCTTGCCATCGCTGAGCTTGGGTGATTTACACGTCTGACCCATAGAAAATATAGAATCATTGAGGTTGAGGGAGACCTTTAAGGTCATCAAGTTCAACTGTCCACCTAGCACTACCACTGCAACCCCTACCTAGACCATATTACCCAGTGCCAGATCCAGATACCTTTTACACACTTTCAGGGGTAGTGACTCCACCACCTGCCTTGGTAGCCTATTCCAATGCCTGACCCAATAAGGTGTTCTTTAAAAATTCAAGTATTCTGTAAAGTTTCAATCTGTTCCTATGTGTTTCCTATGGATTGTTCATAAAGCTTCATAAAAAATACTCTCATGAAGATCCTCTGAGGAAGTTCAGTATTTCTTCATGATAAGAATGAGGGCATAAATTTATGAAGAGAACATTTGAATCTCTGACACCATTGAGATTTTTCAGGCTGGAATCTCACAAATAAAAAAGAAATAAAAGTGTGGGGGAAGAGGAAGCTACCAGAAAAGAACAATTTATACTGATGCATTTACAACAGTGGTCTGTAAACTTTTTTGCTTATGCATTTCTGTCAGTAAAAAGATTTTTGAGCACATCCTCCCAACATATCTTTTTTTAATATACATTATATACATGTACCTCGGCATTTTGGATATTTCTGTCCTGTACCCCACTGTGCCTGCACCCCACTTTGGAGACCACTGATTTAGAGTGTGCAAGCATTTAAATAGTGCACTTAACATAAAAGTGATGCCTGCAAAGGGGTCTAAAATGAAGCAAACTGTGTGGGAATAATATGCCTGGTTATATTTAGATCAAGTGGATTTTGAAAGTCTCAGAAAGACTAAAGCAAGTTTTCCAACAGCAGCCATCAATCACGGACTACTTCCTAATTGCCTGGAGGCATATCATTTAGCAATTTGGAAACCGAACAAAGCTACACCCTTCATTTTTACTTCTGTATGATATTCTTCTATTCAGAGAGCTCTTGCAAGCTCTGCTCCAGAGACACACACCATTAATTGAACATTTCATTGCTATAATTCTGCTCCCAGCAATCAATCCACTGTGCAAAATGATTTAAAACTTATTTTTACTCAGTGTATGAAATACAAAAGTTACACCTTAATTTCAACATCTTTATTCTCTTCCTGAGCTTTAAAAAAAGCAGTTGTTTTGAACACTGCTATGACTGTAAAACAGACCCACATTTTGCCACATGCAGGCAAAATTACAAAAAGGAGAACAGTTTTTAGCTCTCTTATTTTGTTTAATATTCTCATGATATATATGTATAGACAGCAGCTGTACATACATAGCCATGACTTAAAATGGTCTAATTTGGTCGACATCAGCTGTGGCTTGATGAGAAACAGGAAATAGAACATCTCAGGTAGAAATAAGAATAGAATCGTGGAATCATTAAGGTTGAAAAATACTACCAAGATCATCAAGTCCAACCTTCGACCAAATACCCCCATGGTAACTAAACCATATCACAAAGTGCCATGTCTACTTGTTTTTTGAACACTTCTAGAGATGGTGACTCCACCACTTCCCTGGGCAGCCTGTTCTAATGCTTAACCACTCTTTCAGTGAAGAAATTTTTCCTGATATCCAACCTGAACCTCCCTTGGCACAATGTCCTATCCCTTGTAGCCTAGGAGAGACCAACACCCACCTCACTATAACCTCTTTTAAGGTAGTTGCAGAGAGTGATAAGGTCTCCCTGGGCCTCCTTTTCACCAAGTTGAACATCCCTAGCACCCTTAGCCACTCCTCATAGGACATATGCTCCAGACCCTTTACTAGCTTTCTCTAGATACAATCCAGCTCCTCAGTGTTCTTCAGGAAGAAGAGCACATGTTTTGTTTTGTTTGTCCTTTGGACTGCCTATATACTGGTTTTGGTAGTGAAGTAAGTTTGAGAGTAAAGAAAAATTAAATCAGAGTTAAATTATTTACTTGTGGCAATAGTCTGTGTATGCCAAGTGCTACAGAAATAGGGAATCATGATTTATATCTTAATTGCTTAGACACAATTGATGCATTAATATATCATACCTAAAAATAATCATCAGTCATGTCTTAATGATAAAATATTTGGTCAAATGATAAATTATATTAAAGATAAATTTCTAGAACTTTCTAAACTGTACAGATTAGTATTGAGCTATACACTGTCAAATTGCAAATATTTTATATTGTTTCTTTTTTTTCCTTTGGAACAGATTGTCTACTGAATATTCTGTTGGTTTGCTTCTGAATCTATTAACTAGCTTCTGAATGATGGAATTTTGAATAACATTCTTAATTGTCAAGTTACAAGATAACATTCTAGTTTCATCTCTTATGTTCTATGGACTGTAGAAGATAGTAGTGTGTTCTTAAAATCTATTAAACCAGCCTTGGTTCATGTTTCTTGATCAAAAGAGGTAGGTAAGGATTGATTTATAGTCCATCAAAAGAGTGTTTGCATTTGTTTCTCTTTACACAGGGAGAGTAGGGCCTGCAGACCATGTTGAAACTGAATTACATCCTTAAGAAACAATATGGGGGAAGACAGAAGTGGTGAAGGGATAATAAATTATCTGTGGAGACATTGATTATGTGATCCCAAAATGTTAATGTACCATCAGTGTGAAGTTTTGAAGTGAAATTA